ATACTGGTACGATTATTCTTATCGTGGCATTACCTAGATTTATTATCGAGAACAATACACAAACAATAATTGTAGCCTAAAAATCAATATATTCGTACTTTCATTACTTCCATAATGCCATAAATAGAAGGGCTGGTAAACCAGGGCTTCTATTGTTGTAGCATGCCTTACAAATGACAAATGCGATTACGAGATACGCTTCGTTAGATATTATACGTCCCTACGTTAGGACACTGCTACTTAGGACAACAAAAGCACTACCTAGATTACTCGTATGACAATACCAACCAATGTAGCGTTCATTACTAGATTTCAATTGATAAAATCATATAAGTAAGGATTTATTTAATATTGTAAGTTTACTACCACTAGTGGTGTAGCTAAGTAAACCAAATCTAACTAAGTATAAGTAGGTAGGTATAATAAATATTTTACTGATCTGGAACTTGGCCATCTCATTCCATTCTCATGGACGAATGACGTAATTTTATTCCACAATGACGCATATAATTATGTATTCAAAACCAATTATAGGGAAATATGAAAGGCTATGACAAAGTTTTACGCTTGTGTAAACAAGCATAATATACTTGAGAAACCAAACTAAAGTTTACCTTTTCAAACCATAACTTTGGTGTCCTTAATTGAGTCAGGCAGGATATACAATTCCAAGTAGGTATTCCAATTCTGTAATAAGTGGATGTAAAAATAGATATGTAAATTGTCCTCAAGAATGTTTTAGAAGACCATTCCAGTTGGGGCAGAAAAGTTCTTGAGTGGCGACCTATAAATACCTGGAATATTTACTTTGTTGGATTAATACATCCTAGGCACATGATAAATTCTACGCAAACATCAAAGATGAAGAAGAGAAGAACAACTTTGAACTTTCTTATTCAAAGACAAGTTTTTCTTTTCACTTAGGTCGTGGAAAATTTCGATCGCCCTTATTTGTTTGCGAGTTTTCCAATTTTTCCAAGCGGACTGTTTGGCTATCGGAATCTAATCTGCATTTAAGATTAAATTGCTTCGGGTAAATATTTATTCGATTCATTTGGCATTTGATACTTTTTACACAAGGCAACCGTTAGCGTTATCCATAACCGTATTTTTCGCCCTTCGTCCGAACGACAAACAGATTAATGATGTTTGTTCAATTAACCCGACCGGTCCGCGTGATTTGAGTAGTCAACCACAGATACCATTTTACTCCTAAAATGTACATTCAACTTTGACGGGCAATTAAAACTGAATTTTCAGTAAAACGAAGTACCACAGTAATAATGGTCTGGTAATTGTATCTCGGATTATTAATGCTTTGTTAGCTAAAATTAATACAGACTGACATAGACGTAATATGTCCCTAACAACTGAAAGTTCAAGAATTAATAATTGAAAACCGTAATGAACATAGAATAAAGTTTATAAAGTGTTATGATTTTATGAACATTAAAATCGCCCGCCTAACAACAGTACACGTATGCCGGCCGACATTAACCCTCGCTGTACGAGGTGGGGTGTGACATACCCCAGTCCTTTAAAAATCGCCATAATTTTAAAAATTTGCAAGTGCTGAATTTGAAATTCTCAGTAGCTGGAATTATGGCGCTGCTGCTTCTATCAGCGTTTGCAATATCAGTCCAGCGGTGACTACCAACTGAGTTACATGCCTTTAAAGTGAGTGCGGATATCACGCACCCCACCTGGTACGGGACGTTGTTAAAAAGTTTTAAAAATAATTTAACAGTTTTGGTGTAATTTATATATTTTTAGCTTTGTTAATTGAATAAAATTGAATACAAATAATATTTTTCGTGATTTTTACGGTATCTGAAATTTTCAAGCACTTTTAGTCAAATGAGATGACTTTTAGTGCGAATCTGGAAGTTTAGTACCTACTGAGATCCGAAGATGTATGTGAACATACACTTATGGACTACAATTTATACTTGGTGATACAATTTATGGGCTACTGAAATGGAATAACATCTAAATATATAAAAGGAGAAACTGACTGACTGACTGACAGATCAACGCACAGCCTAAACGGCTAAACGTAGGCACTTGAAATTTGGAAGGGACGTAGCTTAGGTACCGTAGAGGTGCACTAAGAAAGGAATTCCCGAAATTCCCACGGGAACGGGAATTAGCGGGAAAAACGGGATTCACGCGTACGAAGTCGCGGGCGGCCGCTAGTATTTTATAAATAAATAAAATTGTTACGTTCCCATTTTATGCATTGAGCATACTAATTTTCTCTCATCAGAATTGTGGTAAATTGAAAACCGATGATCAAAACTTTATACCCTTCCAGTTTTAAATTTAACTAAATATCTTGTACTTTGGTAAATAAAAACGTTTGTCATAATTAAAGGCACTAATTAAAAATTATACATAAGAAACTGATTCCTAAATTACAAGAACAACGGAAATTGTGTCTTTTTGTTTTTTTTTTATGATAAAAATGTTATAATACCTACATATTTTCAGCTCAGAGCTTTTCTTAAACCTAATTAGCATACGTAAATAATCAATATTAAATATTAAATTCCACTTAAAAAAATGTTGATTGAAAATTTTATCACTTTGTATATTTACACTTTGTACGGGACGTAACTTTTAGTCACCTGGTACACGGAGGGTTAAGTATGCTAATCGGCTATTTCCGATTATTATCATTATATATTCACCTCCTGATTATGTCGTTTGCAAGTACACAAGTATGGTAACCATCATCAATCTATTCAAATTAAGTTTTATTTTTATAGATTGGTGATTTGAATTCGATTTAGTCCAGTCAATGAATGCTTTAACAACGGTGTAGAGAGAAATCCCTAGAACACAATTTCTGACCTCGGGACTTTATTTAGACTAGTTAGGAGGTGAACATAGCAAAAGTCCCCGCCCTTAGCCCTTGAGCCGGCGGGGAGAGGGGGGTTTAAAGGTACCACTTTTCGGTTTTTCGCTTAATTCTCGGAAACTATGCGTCCTAGTGACATGGCTACTATGAACCAAAAAAAGCTTATTCAATTTGCTACAGGTAAGACAGTCAAGTTTTTCTATATCTTGTATAGTTTTCGCGGCATCTGCTCTAGAAGGTCTGTAATATTGGAAATTTTAATTTTGTCTTACATGTTCCCATTAGGAGAAAATCGACTAAATCAACATTAAGCAAACATTATAGACATGCGGGAGCATGTTAAGCCTAGTTCCAGGGAGGGGACTGCATCGTGCGTATATTTAGACGAACTAATTGGAGTCACTTTTGACTCCTCATCACTCAAAAAGCACTGTGCATTAACACTTCAAATTCGGCTCATGTGTTGAGACTTGCAAGATAAACATCAGCTTCAAATTTCATAAATATACCTCAAACGGTTATTTAGGTATTGACGTTCAAAAATCGACATTTAGGACTCTAAAATCTATCTATCACATGTGAAATGTTAAAATTTACTGGTTTTTTATTTGTTCCTTTGTATTTACACAACTACCTATTTGGATGCCAAATTTAAACCTTCAAGGTCATCTGGAAGTGGTTAGAATTTGGCCTTATAGGTCAGCCATGTAGATTTTTAGACGTCAATACCTAGAGAACCGTTTGAGGTATATTTATGAAATTTGAAGCTGATGTTTATCTTGCAAGTCTCAACACATGAGCCAAATTTGAAGTGTTAATGCACAGTACTTTTTGAGTGCTGAGGAGTCAAAAGTGGCTTCAATTGGTTCATCTAAATATACGCACGGTGCAGTCCCCTCCCTGGAACTAGGCTTAACATGCTCCCGCATGTCTAAAATATTAGCTCAATGTTGATTTAGTCGATTTTCTCCTAATGGAAACATGTAAGACAAAAATAAAATTTCCAATATTACAGACCTTCTAGAGTAGATGCCGCGAAAACTATACAAGATATAGAAAAACTTGACTATCTCACCTGTAGCAAATTGAATAAGCTTTTTTTGGTTCATAGTAGTCATGTCACTAGGACGCATAGTTTTCGAGGATTAAGCGAAAAACCGAAAAGTGGTACTTTTAAACTCCCCTCTCCCCGCCGGCTCAAGGGCTAAGGGCGGGGACTTTGGCTATGTTCACCTCCTAACTAGTCTAAATAAAGTTCCGAAGTCAAAAATTGTGTTCCATGGATTTCCATCTATAATGCTTTATTGACTGGACTAATTTATTTTCGTTGAAACTGAAAAAGTAATGTTTTTATTTTTGAGAATTGTTATTTCTTCAGTGAACTGGTTTAACTTTTTAACCAAAAATGGAAGGTTTGGTTCATTTTCATCATAACAAATTATTACTTAATCAACGTGTCTGCATCACATGATAACCTGATTCGAAGAAAGTTAATTACTTACTGAACTTAGGCAGAAGAACATTCGCCGTGGTGTTTTCCCGTAAACATTTATATTTATTTCCTTATTTTTTAATTTTCCTTAAAGAGACTCGTAGATGAGAGGAAGAACGGTTTTTTGTTCATTTCATCTAAGATCTTCATAATGAGCCCTTTCATTTGTTATGCTTCTTGTCAAAAAAATTTTTTGAATGTTATTTAGAAAGTTTTCCACCCAAAATTAACTCTTCTAAATTAATGTTTGTCTATTAACTGGTTCAAATGGTTTCTGACTTTCGCGAGTCTATTAATCTTAGTAATCTTATAAGAGTTTTTGCTTAATCTCTATTTGTACGTTCGTTCCTACAAACATAGGCATTATTCAATTGAACGATAGCAACCAACCGCAAAATTAGGCTTCGATGCGTTCAGGCTATGCTTTATCATAGTTTAATGAAACTTAATAAATCAGAATTGACCATATTTAGAGCTTTTCTCGATAACACGCTTGATGAATCGAGTAGCATAAATTTTCATGGCCTACCCTTTTTCCAAATGATCTGGGTTCAAATTTATTAGCAGCACAAGAAAATTTATGTTCGTACCCTTATTAATACTTTATAATACATCAAATAAGTTTTAATGTCGGTTTTCTCTTCACAGTTGGGTGTTCGGCGACTTCCTCTGCAAAATGTACCAGTTCATACACTCGTTAAGCTACACGGCGTCCATATTCATTTTGGTGGTGATCTGCACTGAGCGGTACTTCGCAATAATCCACCCTATCACCTGCAAACAGATCCTGACATCCACCAGGCTTAGAGTAAGTAAGACTTTATTCATTGTTTTTTACCTTTAAGGACTACAGCAGACAAGCTACTTTTAGCATCGACGATGAGCGATTTTGCAATGTATCGATGCAGCATCGCGATCGAATATCAGAATCGCGCATTTTAGCAACTGCTTTCGCTGCGTCGAGCTTCCAAAAAGCGCCCAGACCCAATCGCCGAGTTTGGCGTTTTTAAGTGTGCGGTGTAATATGTGTGGTCGCTGCATTCAGCTTCTAAAAGGCGGCTAAATCGCCGATGCTAAAAATAGCGTGTGTGCTGTGGCTCTAAGACCGATTTCACCCAGACCCAACCTAAACGTTGTAACCGAAACCCTCAATTTGTCTTTAAACAGATCTTTATCGCTAGTGAACTTGGCAGCCAACATAATGTTTTAGTAGCATTTAATAAAGCCGAGTCTACCAACTCGGAGGATGCAGAACATTCTATTAATTAACTGATTGCGCAAAGTACGTGTAACATCCCTAATTTATATGGATCGGTGTTAGTTACTCGCTTCACTCGAGCTAAGCTGCACTAGTTGGCTCAACCATTAATCGACTAGTCAGGCGGTTACAACTAAGTTATCTGCGGTACTAAATACCTGTGTCTTTAGGCTATGCCTACATCTAATGGTGAAATTGAACGGATACAATTAATTCACTGGAAACCTACTTACTTATCTACAGTTACATTAAGCTCTTGTGCCACGATAAACCGATTGTGTAATTAATAGATGAAATTACGGATCCATTTTTTAATTTTTCTATTCGATTGATAAAGTATGGTGATCGCGGCAATTGAATTGTTTATTTTTATCGAAGCAATCAAAAATCTCTGTAGGATAATAATCTCGATTTAGCTAGGTTCTCTTACGATAAGTCGCCGGTAATGGCGCTATATGTTACAAGTCACGCACAATATATTCCAAAACGGCTAACGTGGCCACACAGGTGTGTGTAGCAGCGAATAAATAGCGACGCAGCCCGGGTGGAGCCTCGCCAACAACTGTCCCATTTTGGCAATATTTGTACTTTATTTCTCCGTCCTAACAAGTTCTTGTTTATCTTTTTAATTTAATTTCATAGCTTATTAATTTGGAACTTAATGATAATTATTACTGATGGACCATTTAAGGCAGCTGCAAAAATACATAAAAGCTTTGCATTTATCTCAATTACCTTCACGAATAACCCAGCTGTTCCACGAATAAATTTTGGCATAACAGGAACTTAATGAATTTTCAGCAATTTTCATTACGTGGTCTGTTTAATATGGTCTAAAAGAATGTCTACCTTTTCATCAAAAAGTTGCCAATCTTATTTATTTCTAAGACGTTTGAGGCTGAATAATCATATTTCATCTCGGTGAATCAAGATTGTTTTATTAAATTTCTGCTTTGCCAACGTTAAACGTTACTTTAATTTGTGACTTGTTCACTGCAAAAGCAATTAATAAGACGTGGTATTGAGTTCGTCTTTTGTGTTATATCATAGTATTTAATGAATAAAATAGGCTTTATGTTACAGTTGATTAACTTTGAAATCTGTTCTGCAGTTGGTGATCCTCGGAGTGTGGATAACAAGTGCCGCCTACAGCGCCCCCAAGTTCATTTGGGTGGAGACCATAAACAACAATCTTGGCAACGGCGACACGGAGACCATTTGCATATCTCATCGGAGGAAATACAACTCGGAGCTGTTCGATATGATCAACTTTGGACTGCTGTACGTCACGCCGCTGTGTGTCATGTCTGTGAGTACTATACAATTTATCACCTGTTACGTAGATTTAATTTTACAAAAAGTTATGAAATCTCCATCTGAAGAATTTAAAAAAAGTTTTTAAATTCCTCAGATGGAGATTTCAAAAATCTAGAAGAGTTCATCTGCTATGTACTTAGATTATGAATTATGATAATGAGTGTTGTCTACGAAGTTTCACTACAATTACTTAACACTATTTTAATTAATGTAGGTAGACATACTTACATTCGATTTTCATGGGACCTCATGGGATTAATACCTTTATTTATGTCCTATCGTTACTTTTGCACAACGGTAGTATGGATTTCAATTATACAGGTATAACATAGATAGTAGTCACGGAAATATCCCATGTCTCTCAAAAGAAAATCTAAAACGATTTTTCTCATCTTTCTGTTGTCTGATCAGGCTATCGAAATACAAATTGGATGTTCGTGTACACGAGCCCACTCATCTAAGCCCTCACACACATATAGTCTAAGCCTATTGATAGATTCGACTATCGGAAGTTGATCTCTTTATGATTGGAAATCTTTTCTTTCTTCTCATTTATCGTACAAAAACCAAATAGAAAATATGTTGCCTTCAGTCCTCCCTATAAAAAGGTGTTGTATTTGAGCGGTAGTGTCATCCATTAATACCAAATTACCTGTTAAAGTATGCCATTATACATGGTGTCCCAGAACGCAACGTCAAGGGCGGTTAAGGATAAAATGCGAGTTGAATTATAAATTGTTTTCGTTTCATTTTTATAAAGCTTTATACTGGAATTTTGTACATGGTTACAGATTTCTTTATTGTAAAATCCCAACTAATATTATAAATGCGAAAGTATGTCTGTCTGTCTGTCTGTCTGTCTGTCTGTCTGTCTGTCTGTCTGTCTGTTACGCTTTCCCGCTTAAACCTCGCAACCGATTTTGATGAAATTTGGCATAGAGATAGTTTGAGTCCCAGGAAAGAACATAGGATAGTTTTTATCCCGGTTTTTGAAACAGGGACGCGCGCGATAAAGTTTTTCTGTGACAGAAAAAAATTCCACGCGGGCGAAGCCGCGGGCGGAAAGCTAGTTACATAATAATTACATTCTGAAAACATTTTAGCCTTTCTACGTGGTGGTAATATTAAAATATTTTTGTTGTCACAGTATTTCTACCCAAAAATCTGAAACCAAACAATTTGTAACACTGTACTGTGTGGATTTCATATGAAGTTCTAAATAAGTATATGATTAGCAAATACATAAGTACACCCTGTATTTGTATTCGCCAATTAGCAAATACAGGGTGTACATATGTATTTGCTAATTGGCGTCGAAGAACCCGATGATAAGGGACAAATACACACTCACAAAAAGAGGACAATGTAAGTATTTTCCCTAGTAAATTTCAGAACATTCCATTTGATCCTATAAAAATATTTCACTGGAAATATGGGTTAAAATAACATCATATTATTATACGCTCCCTAACAAGGACAAATTTTGACTTTTAAATAAATGTATCTACTTAGTCCATTAAAATTTGATTGTGTATAGCTAAATGTACACTCTATTGTAGATAAAGTGAGCAATACAGACAATACAGGTTGAAGAATTCTAATTTATTTTATAACCAAATGGTGAAATTTATAAATGCTGTTCTGAACAATGAAAATCTTACAACCTTTACTATGTTATAAAAGTTGATATTTCGCATGGTTATAATATTGCCTTATTGTCATAGTTGGCCTCAGAAACACAAAAGCGGAATTTACTTTACATAAATGCAATATTCACAAGTCTTTGCGGTTTTTCTCACGCTGTCACGGACGGTAATTCAATTCGGCCTCCGTTAGCTTTCAGTTTTAGAGCAAGTATATGCAGAAACATTTTGGTGTTTTAATTTCCCGAGTAACACTAGATTTGAAGCTTTGCAGAAGCAAATTAGGGTGAGCTTGTGGTTTGTGTATGTTTGTGTTACTTTATTTTATTCGTGCAAACTGTCACGTCCACGATTTCTTTTTCGGTCTCAGCCTTGTGGGTACTTAAATTAAAACATGTGGTAAAATGGTACGCAGGTCATTTTATTACACATGTCAGGAGTAATGATATTACAAGAAGACCCTTTTTCTCAATGGGGCTCACTACGGTGTCTATGTGTAATAGATGTCTCATAATGAGACTGAGCCTTTTTTCCTAATGATTCATTACCGGAAATGTATGGATTTTCCGGTCCCGAGACTCCACTTGTTTCGGTAATACAAAATAATCAATCAACAAATATTACATTAGGTAGGAAGGTTAGGTACGGTTAATTACATCAAAACGAACGAAAAAAGAAGAATAATTATAATAATGTATTATCTAATAATATCTAAATATATTACGATATATTCATATAATACCTACAGCAATCAAGCCAGCCTACATAGCTAATTTATGGAACTCAAATAACAACAAACACCATAACGTTGACAGCGGAGTCGTAAAGTGTGTATCTGTTTTGGATTTGTGATGTCTTAATTAAAGGGCCCCATCATAACTCTGCTGCCTCTCAGAGGGCCCTACCAAGGCGGCTTCATAGATTAATATTATAGCAATATGCAGTTACATGATATTAATTAAACCTTAACAAGTACCTAATAAATTACAGTTACTACAAACGTGGCCAAACGTGAAATCCACACAGTACAGTGTTACTACAAATTATCTGATTTCAGATTTTTTGGGTAGAAATACTGTAACAACTAGGTACAAAATATTTTAAAATGACCACCACGTAGAAAGGCTAAAATGTTTTCAGAATGTAATTATTATGTAATTTTACAATAAAGAAATCTGTAACCATGTACAAAATTACAGTTATAAAAATAAAACGAAAACAATTTATAATTCAACTCGCATTTTATCCTTAACCGCCCTTGACGTTGTTGCTTTCTTTCGTTGTTGTTTTCACCACGTTACTACAATCGTGGTACAAACGTAGACGTGATGAAATATGTTATTAAACAGTGTCTCACAACTGTTTTAATTCGTAGCACAGAACAACTGATAGGTACGTAGCAACTTGAACTTATAAAAAATTTATGGAATTTAGCTAAGGCTGTTGAATGCGTCGTGAAAAAAAAGTAAATAAATCTGGGAACAGAATCATAAATGTGATGGAAGGAAAAATTTCCCAAAACGAGAAAACTAAAATAGGTCTGCTAGCCACCCCTTCACAGAGGCAAGGGATTAATCTCGAAGGGTCGACTGCCATATTAATGGCCATCGACAGCTATTAACTAACAAGTGGGTCGGCTTCTAAAAAGATTCCGAGATAAGCATCGATATATCGATAAGACGGAATCGATATTCCGTCTTTCATTTCATGCGGAAATTCCGCGGTGAGTTATGAATTATATTGAAATTTTCTAAATCGTTTAGTGAAGATGGGCCAAAGTTACAACTCGGTTCCCAAATTGCGCCTTTTGATCTTTTTTCAGACACATAACCTTCTGCTACACTCTGTGTATAAAATTCATCAATTTTTTTTTTATTATTTTTTTAGGATGAACTTCTTTTTTTATTATCTATTGAAGACTTCAACTTCCTGAATATACATTTATGTAGATAGCTCGTGTATTAGGTATTTTCACAATCCAGCATAAAAACGAACAACGAAAGAACAACAACGCAACCCGAATTGTTTTTTTATTAAAACACTCTTTCCGTAGGTTTCATTGTATTTCCGTATAATCACAATTTTCATCAATATACCAAGTAAACATAGTATTTTTATAGCATAAAATAAATGTTCGGCTCTCCTAAAATAGATTAGCATCATAGAAGCGAGATTTGTTAAGCAATTAGCTGGGCGGCTGTGTTCAGCGAAGAAGATGCGTTTGCATAGTAATGACTACACCGAAGGACCTCGACCGGGGTTAACAATTTGAGAGCTCGAACCTGAAATGGACACAGAATTTGGTGTAATAACAAGTAATTCATTCGTTGCTTCGTTCTTTGGTTAGTATCATTTCAATAACATAACTCTACTTATTCTGCCTTAAGTTTAAAAATACTCGTAGGACTTATCTAGGTACATGTTGTTTTGCTTGTGTTATAAAGTCTGTTCTACAAGTACAGGGACATGTCTTTGCTTTGTACGAGTAGTTTATTCCTTTCATATAAAAAATTATTTGAAAGTTTAATTAAGTACCTAACAATATTTAATTTTTTAGATAAAGTTTGTTTTCCTGCCTCTCTTATAATCTCACAAAAAGCTTGAGCTTTACCTCGTTTTTAATTATCTTTCCTTTGTAGATGAAATTTTCGAAAATGTAAACAAGGCAAAATCGAACCTTTTCGTGAAATAATTATACGTTGATCCTGAAAAGTTTGAGACCACACCGGAAGTTTGAATGACTAATTAATTCAGGCCTATTTGAGTTTGGCAACGAACGAGTAATATGAGCAGATGTTTCCGCGACTTTGCCTCTTATAGTATTTGACTTTTCTGAGGAAAATAAAGCAAATATTTACAGATTAACTAACATAAATTATTCATTAGCGATTCCGAGAAACTTAAGCCTACTCAAAGGGATACTGGTTTCTATAGACACGTGTAAAAATATGTAATAGTTACATAAATGAATATCCTAAAAAATCACTAATGTCTGTTGAAAACCATAGCCCACTGAAGCAGAATATTAAACGGAAATAACAATTGCTATCAGATAGAAAATGAAAAAAATAAATAAATAAAGCTTATTGTTCTCGAGTCGCACGCAAAGAATATTGTTTCAAAACAATGGAATAAAAGCCTTGAAAAGAGTTTTATATTAGGATCACTTAAAGATACATCACTTAATATAACTTATAAGGTCCTACGTCATAAAAATAATTCGCAAAAGATTTCGCTTTCAAAATTAAATATTTCTTGGAAATATTTTATTGCGTCTTATAAAACCTGTTTATACTAAAAGATATTAAACGATATATTGTCAAATAATTTAATTAACTTGTATAGATAC